TTCCAACAAGAAAACGCTCAAACTGCTCAAATCTTTCTGAAAAACCGCTCAAACAGTTCAAATTTTGAGCAATTTTTGAGCGGGATCTCGACCCGGGCAAGGTTCTTTTGTATCAAAATTACTCAACTCGATTTCTTATTGGTCGAATTGTGAAACAACCAATTATTACATTTCCAACAGAAGAAAACTAAACAGCAGAATAGTGACCGCCGCAGCATAGTGACCCACCGGCGAATTTAAGCCAAGAGCTTAAAATTGTCGGGTTAGTAGTGTTTGGCCAATTGAATGTTTTTGGTACTAACGCGATTGATTTGTTTTTATTTTGATACAAATGGGTAATCAAGGAAGAAAAGCGATAATTTTTTATTTTGATACAAATGGGTAATCAAGGAAGATATGTGCCTTGTTTTCTCCGGCCCATTTTCGGTTTTTCCCATCCTGGAAAATTATTTTGCCCAGAGCTCAAATTTGAAAAGACCTGTCATGGTATTCAATGGTGAAGTTTATAGGATTAATTATAGGACTAATTACCGCATGATATATCAAATGGTATTTTAGGTTTTTTACGAAAAATTTACGTGAAATTTACGTGATCTATTTACAACCCAAAAAAATCGATATGAGCCAATTTCGATGAAAAAAGCTGAAAATTTGTAGCAAAAAGAATTCAAATCAAGTTAAATAGGCTTTTAGGCACCAAAGTTGACCCTAAATTTTCCGGATAAATAATTTCAATTTGATTGGATGAAACATTGTTTTAAAAATTTTTAAACAGCTGAAAAGCAAAAAGTGAAACTGAGCGAAAAAAAAACATGTGGGTATTTTGGTTATTTTGATTAACTTAAGTCCGTTTTATTTCAATCTTAATTTGAATTGACCGACCGGAAATCTTAGGATGAATCGCAGTGCCCAGGGGCGGATTTAGAGGGGGGCGGGGGCGGGTGGAGGACGCGCTCTCTCTCTCTTTGGGATTCGACACCCTGAAGACCCAAAGGGTCCCCCCTTTGAACTATTTTGAGATATCTATTTTTGGCTGACAGACCCTAAAATTTTTCTAAGGCTCTTTTGGCGCCAATATACTAATTTTAAGGGGGAGCGCGCGCCAAAAAACGCGATTTTTTTAAATTTAAATTTTCAAAAAAGTTTTTTTTGGCGTGTTTTGGGACTTTTTAGTGCTTTGGGAGAGCTCGGAAAATCAATTTGCTCGACCAAAAAAAAGGTCGACAACATTCCGAAATTTTTTTGAAAATCCGATACCCCCCTGGAGAAAAACCTAGATCCGCCCCTGGTAGTGCCTCAACTGATTTAAGTCAATTTTAATGAAGTTTGGTAGCTTCTAAACTCTAACCCAATCTCATACCGATTGAAATTTGAGGTTGCAAAACGATCAATTATGAAGACCTAAACAATTTTCAAACTATTTTTCAATCATTTTGCTGAAAATTATTGAACTCAACAAAATTTTTATCATTGTTACCGAAATCTATAATCTCGCGACAAAATTGATTTACTGTTATTTTAGCACACCACTTATTTCAGAAGGACCCCTTTACTATTTTGCAATCTAAGAGCGGCAGCATTGATGAAAACTTAAATGCAGGCAAATTGACTACGAAGACCATTTTTGCGATCAATGCTTAAGTGCTATTTTTGAAACCAATGAACAAAAACAGAAGAGCAAAATGTGAAACGAAACTGATACCTCCGTTTTATTTAGGTTTCTTTGCAAGCTGAGTTATTTTTTGTTGCTAAAACTATTAGTTAAACGAACACAAAAGTAACCAGTTTTTTTTTCAAAACAAAAGTGAAATAGGTTTTGATTGTCAACTCAAGGCATCAATTGTGGAGAAAAAAATCCAAATCAAACTGGTTTTTGTATTTTAAGAATGCGTGGAGTTAAAAAAAGGCTAAAATAAGCCTTTACATAAGCCTTATTGTGGCAGTACTGTAGGTAACGGTTTGGATTTTTGTCGATCTATCTTGTGTTTGAATTATATTTTGTTTTATGATTTTTTTTTGTTTGATTTTATACATTGAACTTGAGTTTATATTTGACGCTTTGTATTTGACTCAATCTTTCAACCGAATCAATTTCGAGATAGACTTTTAATTTGGTTATAGGTCTTCTCAAACCACGCAGTTGCTGACCTAAGCTTTCCTTCTAACAGAACAAAATATTGATCTTAAATTGTTTGGAGAGAATAGACTTATTTTTTGGGGGGTGGTGGGTTGGGCACTAAGAACAGTTGCTGATTTAAGTCTGACAAATTTGGCCCCCTAACAACTAAAAATGGTCACTTTTTGCAACTATTGCACGTTACCACTTTCTAAAAACTTAAAACTTGAAGGTTTTCATAATGTGTTTAGAGAGAGCAGCGGGGCATCAGAGTTTTTTCTACTAAGAAAAAAGTTTTAAAAGGGTTCAGTTATTTTTTGTGCTTTGGAAATTTTCGTACGAAACTGTTGTGACTTATCTCTACAAGGCACTGTAGCCGGGCGA